ACACTACCTTATAAACTTTCTTTAAAGAATTCTGAAATCTATTCCAAATGTGTAAAAGCAAAACTCTAGGGAAATATTTATGATACAAATGCTCAATGTAAGATTACTGTGACTTGTTTTTGCCTTACTTGCAAATTGCTAGGCAGGAAGCATTTAAATACCAAGGATAGAAAAAGGCAAGGTGTTTGTTTGGGCAAACCATGCACACCTTAGGACAAGGACATCCTTGAGGCTTCTGAAAAGAGAAAGAATGTCTTTCAATCAACAATCATACAACAATTAATATTTGTGAAAGATAGTCTCAAAAACAATTTTGTCTGTTGTTGATTTTGTGAAACCGACAGAATAATTTAATTCTAAACCATGTTCTAAGTGGTACTTAGAATATGCACTGAGACGTGACACTGTTTTTGACATATTGAGGGTCAGTTGTGTGAAGAACTAAGGCAACAAGCCCATCAAACAGCAGTAAATGGGGTCTTTGTCTTTAAGTTATGAGGAATGTGTATGGATTTGATCCTGATGGCTGAACTCCTGCAGATTTCTGGGCATAAGACAGATGGCAGTGCAACCAAACTAGAATCTAGACCTTCCCTTTTTCCCTCTGGGTCTAACTCCTATTATCCACTTGTAAATTAACCTGTCAATTTATCAATCAACACTATCTTGATTCTCCCCTGTTCCACAGCCCAGCCTTGCAGTGAATTTGCCTCGTAAATAACTGGGAGCTCTGTGTTTGTTAGTATTGTGAATGAGTTTATTATCACTTTGATGGCTGCTATGAATCACAAATGCTGCTGAGAGGCTGATAAGAAAAAAGTACATGTACACATTAACAGGGTTGAAACTATTTTAGAGATAAAAGATGGAGTAAGTGTGATAGCAAATCATTTAAATGGGAAAAATGACTAAAAATTATATTTGTGTGTGTAGTGGACAACTCCTCGCTTAAAGTAAAAGCAGAAGAGTGAGAGAAATTACTTTACTTTCATTTTAAATGTTTAGGGGGAAAAGTATCTGTAAAATGACATTGGTGGACAGCAGGGTGCCTGGGACCAGATAGTGTGAGACACCAGCTTTATCAATGGCCTGGCTAGAAATTTCAGGAAGCATCAGGCTCTGAGTCAAAGGAACTGTCAGCCAGGTTTAGTTTTTAGATGCTACAGTGGAACTTTATATATGTATATCCTTTCTTTGACTAATATACAAAGTAGTTTGTTATTGATAGCAAGATCTAGTAAGATGAGGCATTTTCAGAAACTTAACACATTAACAAATAATTAACATTAAAGTTTTAATTATTTTGCTTTCCCTTATGTTTCATGAAAAAGTTATTTATTTGACATGTAAAAATAGAATCAAATTATTTTAAGCTAGAAATACTATAATAGATGCTATGTGGACTAAGATATACACGTATTCCAAAATTACATGTTGTATCAAATTTCTACGACCAGTTTTTCTAATCTTGGTTGTTGTTTCATGTTGGGAAATAAACTTTTAACATAAATCAATACTTTCAAAAAGTGCTTCTGCTTTTGTTGTTAGGTGCCCTGAAGTTGAGAGTAGAGACTCCTGAAGATGAGGACCTGTGCTGTTAAGCTAACGCAGAATATACTTTGAGGATTGAAACAAATGTAAAATTAAATTACAAGTTTAATCAAACACATATTTTTTTCATTAAAATAATTTGCATCATATGTATAGCAAGTAAAACTAAGCCCAAGACTTATTTTTTAAGATAATCGCACACCTTTTAAATTACATTTGATAAATTTGGCGTTTAATCACAATTAAAACTCTTGTTAAAAAATATTTCCAACTTGTAACAAGTTTTTTGTGGAAAGATTTCTGTACAGGGGTTCTAAAGACAATAACATTTTTTGTTACTTTATTAAGAAAATAGAACATTACATATACATTTGTTTGGTTTGCACTTTGAAAAGATATAACATTTTTTGTGATAGCAAATTTTTACATTTTCTTAAAGTTAATTATGCAGGCCGTCATGAAAAATATTATACTCTAACACGTGTAGTTAAAGTTTTTAAACTTGTTAAAAAACCAGCTACAATCATTAGTTATCACATGTAAAATGCTTTTTCACAGTTAAGGTACTGAATAAAAATAATATTCACTGAAACTTATTATACCTAATATGCCATCGGTAAAAAATGTGATAAAAACTTAAATTGTTTGTTAGAATGCAATTTAGAGAACCTGATAGGTTGTCCATTTTATTCAGTTCATAATTAAGATAGTGTTTAAATCTGAAATGAATTCTACATATGCACGTTCAATAGTCTAAAGCACAACAATAAGAGCGAGATCACATCTCATTTTATCATAAATTGTGTAATAAGCGATAAGGTAAAAACTAGGGCTAAAATCCTTCCAGCAAAAATGAAACAGAGCGACCTCAATTGCCCTAATTCATTCAGCTTTTTTCCTCTTTTTTTTTTTTAAGTCCCTTCATTTTCCCTCTGTTCACATTATTAGCTTACACATGAGTGCATTATTAGAAAATAACAAAGCCAAACAGAAGACTTGGAAGGAGCGAAGGAGCGGAGATAGGTTCCATCTACAGCTGAAAGGTATTCTCATTCCATTTGCTGGGAGTTGCAAAAAAATAGTTTTATTGCCAGGGAGGGACAATGACCTTTTTCTTTCAACAAGCTTGGTGGTTGGTCTTTTGATGGAAAAACTAGGGGATACAACATCTGGTAATTTGTGTTACTGAGCTTAGCTGAGGTCTTAACGATGTAAGCAGATTATTCTTGAAGAAGAACAAAAAAATTCCCGAAGACTCAATGGACTATTTAAAGTTATTAGCCAATGCAGTATTCTAACACTTCAGAACTCTTTTCTGATGCGTTTTTCCTTTAAAGCTCTGTCTTCGAAGCATTTCTTTTCTTTTCTTTTTAAAAATCTACCTCTTTCCAACTCCAGTTGACTTTTTTGGTGGTCTACAGCTGCCTTACCATTCACCCTGGCTTCCTTTTTTCCATCACAGGAGAAATTATTGCTTAGCTGATTAAGTTTTCTCCTTCAGAGCTTTAGGAAGCTCTCTTCAACCCTCGGGAGTCTTGGCTAGGTTAGAAGAGTTGAGCAACTCCAAGCAGCAACAGCCACATTTGGCAATTTGAAGAAAGAAAGGAGAGGGGAAAAAAGTGAATGAAAACAAAGCATGAAGAGTACGACTCACCCTTTCTAGTTTTATAAGCAAAACATAAATAAAATATGAAATAGTTTCCGTGGATATTTTCCCAGGTGCATTATATTTAAATCACAAAATTTTGTTTCTTGCTTTAATAAAAATTGGTTGGGGGTTCTCCTCAATATGTTAATGTCATACAAGAAAAAAAATCTCAAATGAGGTTAATTGCACATAGCTTGAATTTTTTCTTTTAGAATTTGTATTGAAAGAAAAAAAATACTTTATAGTAGAGGAAGTCAGCCATTAATTTGAATACTCAAGTTTATTGACATTGCTCTGGCTAAGAAAATCTTAGTGTAACTTTAAATTTTACTCAAGTGGTATTACTACATCAAAATCCAGTGAACAGAAGGATGCATGTCGTGGGGGTGGAGGGGAAAGAGTGTTGGGGTTAGCACCAGGAGAGAGCAGGAGGCTCTGAGACCCATCACAGCCCCAGGAACTCACAACAAAAATTCACATTAGAACCCACACATGGGGCCTGGATATGTGACCAGCATGAAGATTTGTGGTTCTGAAAGCAATATTACATACTAATATCAACTCCACTTCCTTCACCATAAACTTTCTGGAGGAAGGTCCTTCTTTACATCATCACCTCTGTGAGTCAAAAAGCTTAACCAAGATCATCATGTGCTAGCTTGAAAAAGAAAAATGGGGGAAAAAACTGAGGAAGAAAGAATAGATGGTGTTCAGAGCGCAAACATTCAGATTAAGTTAAAAAGAACTTTATGCCATGTTGTGGTGATGGTGGTAGTGTACCATCTAGTCATAACCACCCCATTGCTGATCCTAGGTTGGGTTTTTCAGAGGCAGTTAATCAGCCTAAAAGAAGGTTGCCCATCCTTCTCCTCTCGAGCAGCTAGTATGTAAGGAAGAAATATGAGCAACATAATTTTTGCTAACATTTTAACTAACCTTTGCCTTGATACATAGCATATTTAACTCTGAATATAATTCCTAAAGATATAATATTTTTGTGCACACCTTCTGGGCTTTTTAAAATTCCAAGGAGTTAAAGGAACCTGCTCACAGTCAGAGAATCCCTGGTGGTGGGAAGCAGAAAGCATTCAAATACAAACCCAAAGTCCAGTGATTTGATCCCAGAAGCTAGTCCTTGGAAGAAAGACAATGAAGGGTGAGTTTCCGTGGGAATTTGGAGCCTTGGAAACTCCACAGGGTAGTTGTATTCTATCCCACAGATGGCTAGGAATCAGTACCAATATGATCATGGTGGGTTTGGGTTTGCTTTTGCATAGCATGTGATTTGGTGACACATGACTCAAGCTAAGATGGTTTTAGAATAAAATAAGTTCATATATCTGTCTTTTTTGTTTTGTGGCCTTTAATTTACTTTGCTACATTATAATTCTATCACCTAAGAGTCATTTGTAATTAAGAAAATAATTAGGGAAATGGAGCACCAGAGTTAAGGAAAAAAAAAAAAAGAAAATAATTAGGTTAGTAAACATGGAGATTTCTTGCCAACATACTTTAGGAACTTTGGTATTTTAATAAAATGCACAGTATAATATATTCAAAATTGAGCTGAAAGCTACAATGCACATTTCATGTTTACCAATATTTTCCCATCTCTGGGGATTGAATTGGTACAATTTAGGGTTAACATAAATTGTTGGCCACTGTATATTTTCCATTAACCTATATTTTCTATACATTTTCCCCCACTTACAATTTCCCAAAGTTTACTCTTTTTCCCTACTAAAATTTGAAATACTTCATATGAGCCTTATCAACAATGAGTACTTGTCTTTCCATCAACTCATTTGGTTTCAAATTCAAAGCCACATTTGTATGGTTCTACTGCAAAGGGAAAATTGTATCCATTTGCAGTTATAAGGGCAACTGCATAATCAGGGTATTGGCAGCTAAGCAATTGGAAAAAAGGACCATTAAATCAGAGAAACTGATAAGATAACAGAAAAAGTAGTTTCTCCTTCAAACAATTATAGCTAAGTCTTTCACAGAGAGTTATACTCATTGAACAAACCAACAATTCCACTTCATTGAATTAATTTCTTTTCTTTGTATTAAAATTTGGAGTCCTACTCCTATATCTCTGGCTGATGTATTTATGAAAACAGCAGTTGGTGCCTATTTCTGTTATGGAGATAGGCCAGGAAAACTCTGAAGCCAACTTCTGATCTGGTGGGTTGTGCTTCACAAACATGGATTCCATTATAGGAGTTTTATTCCTTTTCCTTGAACCATTCACAAGACTTGAAGGAATTCATCTACATGCATTTCTTCTCTTAGGAGAGAGAAGAGACTTAGGAAAGACCTTTCACTACCCAGTCTCCTGCTTCGCTTGACTGATTCTTCTTCTTGACTCTACTGGACTTCAGCTGTGTTCTTTCCTGTATGTCTTTTTGTTGTGGTTTCATGCTAAAGTCTCCCATTTGTGGTTAGTTCTATTCTTGGTATCAGTTAGTTGCAACTCATAGCAACTTTCCAATGGGTTCCCAAGGCTGTAGATCTTCACAGGAGGATACACTCACCCAGTATGTTACACTCTATGGCACCAGAACTTCTTAGAGAAAGTGAGATGGATGGGAGAGAGAAAAAGAGGGAACAAACACCAAGGGCTTCTCCTTGGTAGTGCAATGGTTAAGCACTAGACTGTCATCGAGATGTGGATAATTTGACCTCATTCAATGGCTTCAGAGGATAAATATTTGGGATGCTGCTCCCTTAAAGATTACAGCCTAGAAAGCCCTATGAGACAATTCTAGTTTGTCAAGTTGGATTGCTTTGGAATCTGATCAATCACAACCAATATTTCAGAGAGCTAATTTTCTTTTTCTCTTTCTCATACACACATATGCATGCATACATGTAGCTATATATAAGTGTATGTATCTGTGTGTATGGAACTCTGGGGGCCTAATGAGTAAAGAGTTGTGGTGTCAAGTCAAAAGCAGGTTGCTCAAGTCTACCAGCAGTTCCTTGGAAAACTTGATGGAGCACCAGCTGTGAATGGGTTCTAAAAGTGGTCTAAAATGGTAACTAGAAATGTTGATAGGAGAAGGTTCATATTAAAAAATCATTTGTCTTTTAAGTACATAATCCTATCCTTGGGTGTGATGATAGGACAAATGTGACGTGGAGCATTTAAGAGTCTAGTGAAAGGGGCCAAAGAAATTGGTTTAGCCTAGTACTTATGAACAAGAGTACTGTGGGCTGTAATACACGTAATTTGAGTTCTGATTCTTTCTAGTTTTGTAGCACTTAACGTTATTTAAGTTTTCTTGGTGTTAATTTCTTTAATCTTAAAACAAGATTGGTATTAATATCTAATTCAAAGCAGTATTTAGGGACTTTTAAATAATCTAGTATGATTTCTAGCACAACAACTGTTTAACTTCTACATCTTTAAAACTTTAAATTGTGGGGACGTTTTATTTAAATGAGCCATTGAGTTGGAACCTATGGAAGAGATTGTCTGTCTTTCTCCCATGGAGCAACTGGAGGACTCAGACTCCTTGTTCTTGGATCAGCAACACGACTCATTCCTTGTGGGAAATTTGGATTATGGAAAACTGTCTTCCTTATTATTAAAAAAAATTCTTGAATATTGTAGGGAATTTCACTTGGCTCTGTAATATATACAAAGACACACATTAATGTCTTTCCATTTTAGTGACTAGCAACTGAGTGCAGGAAGATAACACGTGTATACAAAAGTGTAAAAGTAACAAAACAAAATATAGTAAGCTGGGAAGGATAGATATGGACCACAGACTCAGTTCAAGTCCTGGACACTTGTTCATTCTCTGGCTTTGAATGATAGATCATACTCAGAGTGTAAAGAATCATGAAATGCAGCTTAAGAACTTAGATTTTTATTTATACTGAACAACTGGCAATTCTGAGCATGGTAGTGAAAGGCCCACAGTGGTACCACAGGATTGCTAATTTGGAGATGAGGGGGTCATGATTAAAATAACACAGTTTACCTGTTGAGTACTATCATGGTAAGTTTTGAATGTTGATTTGGGTAGGCTGTAATACCAATTTTGAAAAACCCTCTTCCAGTTGTTTTTATAAACTAAGTCAGTTGGGCTCAAGAAAAACAGATAACCTTTAGAAGATCTGGATGAGTGTCAAAACAGGTGAAGTCTTTAAATCAGAAGAGATTGCTCCTCTAGGATGACAATGCAATTAACTGCCTCCAAAAACCCACTGGAGGGTCAACCATGGGTGAGTTCTGACTCACCAGCACACAAGGAGTGGCTTAGTGACTCAGCTCTCAGCTTCTAAGCAGCAAGATAGCACTTTGAACTCACCAGCAGTCCTTATAGAGATAAAAAGATTTGGTGATTTGCTCCCATGAAAATGACAGCCTAGGAAACCATTTAAGTTGGTTCTCCTGTCACATGGAGTTGCTACAAGTGGGATTCAAGTCAATGTCACTAAAAAGATGAGTTAAGTGGTTAGCAAACCAAACAAGCGGAGTAGTCAAACAGAAGTTGTCAGCCTTTTCCTTTTCTTTCTGCTACCGCATTCCATCTCTTTTAAAAAATTATCGCCCATGTATAAATTTCAGCAGAAGCAAGAACATGTATTCAGGATTGAACAAATTCTGAGTCAATACTTGTGTCACAGATACTGTGCCTGAGGGCTCAAACATAGATAGTAAAACCAGTTGGATCTTACCTTCATAAAACTTATGGTTTATCAAAAATTTGTAAATTACAGTGGCTAATTTTATAGTAAAATTACAAAATTTTGGAAGATCTTGAATGATATGTATGATCGATAATTCTACACCAAAGAAAGATATATTTACATTAGTTCAAATCTAATTGAATTCGTTCAGAAATTTCAAAGCATTTGCTAGAAAGCCCGAGGCAGGTTTACTCTCAAGAAAACAATTTGGCAATGAGATCACACCTGCTCTAAACCAAGTTAATTACCTAAATCACTGGACTAGGAAAAAAGTACAAGTGCCAAAACTTATGAAGCAACTTTCATCAAGATGTTAGAGTCATTGTAAGCCTGTATGCTACCCCAGGGATTTCTGTTTCAAACAGCAGGAGTGGAGGGAATTCTTACTCACTTTATCAACAGCAAAATCAGGAACTGATGTGGTTACTTTGCACAGGATGAGAATCTTATCGTTTGATAGTTCCTCTCCTTTCTGTCCTGTCAACTTGCTCATCTCCACTCCTCAGTGGTCACGAGTCATCATGGAGCTGGATTTATAAAGTTACTGACCCTACAGCTATTTTGCACTCTAATTTATTAGCAAATGAAAAACCTATATTTTCTTAGGTTCATCAGAAATTGAAAAAAAAAAATAAACAGCAAATGACTAGAATATTTAGAATGTTATATATATTCTACATTGAAAGATACTCAACATTAAATTGTAAACATGAATTTACATAACCTTTGATTCTTTTTACCATAGCATATGAAACTCAGTACCATTCAGTTTGACTTTGAAGAATGTGAGGTCAGATTTAAAAATATATCCATTTGTTTGCCTTTGTTTATACTCAAAATGTGCTTGATTCATTTAGTCTTTAAAAGGCAATTGCCAATTTAAGAAGAAACTAGATCATCTGCTCAGGGAATGCCAAGTCTTTCTAAAACAATTTACAGAAAAAAATATATTAATCCTGTTTTATGATCTGAAAATGCCATGGTGCTTTTCTTGGCTTGTAAGTGGATTCATCTACTTTACTGTTTTGGTCTCTTGATATTCAGAAGTAGGAAAGCTTTCTGAAATTTGAATCATACTTGAGATCCCTCCGGAGTAGTTAAGCGCACACCCACACACATACATCTTTCCCCATAAACACCACATGCCTCAGCTCACATTAAAATTATATATTTTTCCCCTACCATGGGAATTGAGGAGTAGAATACACATCATTAGAGAGAAGGACAAGGTAGTGAAAATATGGGGCTGCTTCAAAAGGTGTCAGAAATCAACTCAGGCCTCTTAACTCTTCTCTTTGTTTTTCTTCACTGGTGATTCCTCATTTTGTTCCTCTTTCCATCTTAATGCCCCATTTGAGTGAGAAAGTTTGCATCCTGAATGTCAATCTGTTAAATTCAGCAATCATTGAAGATTTGCCTGCATTCTTTTCCCCCAGTACTTACTGACCTTGTTACTCTTCTTAATAGGCAACAAACATAATTTGACATGAGAATGGAGAAACTATTGGAAGAATGTATGAGTTTGTTCCATTTAAATATCATTACAGAAATTACATAGTTCAAATCCACCAGTTCAAATCCACGAGAGAATGATGGGTGATGGGTAATTTCTTCCAGTGTGATTAACTGCTTATGAAGCCGGTTGAAGAGTCAGCTATGAGTCAGTTCCAATTCTTTGGTACACAACAACAACAATAACAAAATAATTGAAGCAAGTACTTTCTAAAAGGAAAGTGTGATTAGATATTATATGTATAGTTATTAAGAGTCTGGATCAAGACTTGCACTACGAAGTGAACTGGGGGAAGAGAAGAAAGGAAAATGTAAGAATAAAAACTTAACCTTTCTGTAAACTTTGACTAAGATGACAATTTAAAATGTTTTAAAAAAATTCTTCTACTCAAATCAGAGAAACTGTAAATGTATTAAAGCCTTTTCTTTTCACATTTCTTAATTACACTATTGTGTGACTTTGAGCAGTTTCATAATGACTATAGCCCCCTTTTGACATTTTCTGTGTTTACTTCCACAATAGTGTAACATATCAAGCTACTGATTCAATGAAGAGAGGCTCAAATATGTGATTCGCTTCTTGGAAACAGCACGGACAGTGTCCTCTTGTAAAGATGTATAGCCTCTGAGGTTTCAATTGACATGTCAACCCCCTGGGTTTCATTATTTACTTCCATAAAGACCCAAA